TTTACCTCCATCAACCACATACAAGTTACCTCCATACCCGTGGCTGGAATGCATGGTCATGATATACATACCATCGAATGCTCTATAGCGGGTGCCACAGGCAGAGTGCGCCGTGTTGACACTGCCTTCATGACGCGTGCATCTATCATTCAACATGGGCGTTGACACACTTACGTAACATTAACCTGCAAGAAATGTCACGTCGCGTCTGCAGCCCCAAGCGCTCACCCAGTCCAACGGAAGTTTGCCATATACATATCATACATATCATCTGCTTATTCCATCACCCAAATCTTCATATCAAGATGATCTCTCAATGGGTCACCCACGCCAAACGTTTCTACGACGAGCTCGGGGACAATGACACCCACCCTCGCTTCATCTCCAATACCGACAACCCGTATAATGTTATCCTGCATTGCGGATCTTTAGACTCCCGCGAGAGCTTTTGCTTCGATGTGCTCTGTAACAAATGGGCTTCCCAGTACTATATTGTCCGCCAGTACTATATTGTCCGGTTCAAGGGACCTGACGGGGTAGCAGTATGTGCTCTCTATTCCGGTGGAGAAGCACTGACGCGCGTTCACAGATATCCCGCAGAGACTTTTGCAAGGCATGGGCCGTTTCCCGTCGGACAGTCGCTTTTCTAGGCGGCCTCAAATCATCAATACAAGACTTGGGTCTTGAGCAGGAATACACAGAAGATCTAGAGACCATCTCTGAGCTGCTCCGTAAAGTAAGTTTTGTATCCAGTAAAGCAGTATCAGCAGCTTATTCTTCTGCTTTGTAATAGTACGAAGCCTATTGGGGTAAGTCTCTCTCCGACTGGTCAAGTCCCTCGTACATCCACTGAAACCAATGGTAGACGAACTCAACTTTGTCATGCAGCATATCAGTTCCTGGGAACGGATCGGTTATCTGCCCTTTGTCCACGACCCTCTCCCACCCAACTACAAATCCCTCATAACCGACCCCGTCAAACCTCGCTCTCGTAAATGGATGCTCAAAGGCACGGACCATTGGTATCCTGTCGACGCTTATTTCACATGTGAATCGCCTTTCAGTGATCTATACATTCTTTACGTCAAGAAGATACTGGAACTACACGAAGAAGGTGTCGAGGATCGGTGGTTTGCTATGTGGGATATGTGGGGGCCGGATCCGGTTGAGTACAAGCTGTATCGCTTCCCGGGGGATTTCCCTATCAGCGAGAGTGAATTGCAGTTGCGGAAGAAGAGTCAAGGTGTGAACTTCGGGGAGCTACTATCGGAATTTGGTGATTTATGAGTCTGCTGATATCGATCATCGTGTTCTATGCTTATGGAGGTAGATTATGAACTCCAGTCCGGGGTTACAATGAGTGACCACGACACAAGAATAGTAGTATATGACTGCCGATCAGGAGATGTAAGTCTTGTTTGTCGTGTGTATATTGCAGAGTTAATACCTTTATCGCTGTCACTGTCATATAGTCCCACTTTCATCACATTATCCCCAATTCAGTACTTCCCAAGTCGGTACCGCTCTCTCCCAGTGCAGCCTTGCCTATCTCCGAATCCACCTCCTTCTCCTTTGGTTCTTTAGGTGACAATGACGCCTCACAGTCTGCATCACGGGCAATTGACAATGCCCGACGGCCAGTCCCCTGTCGGCAAGACGGCTCAGCGTTCTTTCCTGTGTATTATCTATATCTCATTCATTCGCTGCACCCCCCCGCACCTCAATCATCGACTGGCCATGTCTACGCCTACCCCTGCCACCATCCTCGGCAGCACTGGTCTCACCGGCTCCGAGAATCTTCACGCCCTCCTCACCTCCTCAAACCCCTTCTCCATCACCGCCACCCACCACCCGCTACCCCATCCCTTCCCCCTTCCCCAAATGCGAACCCCCAAACGCCCAAACAGTCCTCGACGAACGAATCTAGCCTTCGCTCTTCGATACTCCCGCCGATACTGCCCGAAGAAAGCTCGTACAAGAGGGCGAAGTGTATGTGTCGTGTCTGGCGACGACGAGGGTGAATGGGAAAGAAGCGCAGGAGAAGGTGGATTGGGAGCTCAATAGGGATCTTGCTACTAGAGCCAAAGCCGATGGCGCCAGAACAGTGAGCACTTTCTGAATCTTCACCTTCAGCCATCGCAATCAGGTGTCACCCTTCTTCGTGAAACTGACGATCCCCAGGCTATCCTCGTATCTGGCTCTCACGCATCCCGCGACTCGTCCTTCTTCTACCTCCGCATCAAAGGCCAGCTCGAAGAACACTTTACCACCCTCGGCTTCGACCATGTCGTTATCCTCAAGCCGGGGATGTTGCTTGGCCCCAGGGAGAGGGTGGATTGGGCCGAAATTGGATTACAGAAGCTTTTTGGCTGGGCGAGATGGGCCGGGGTAGGCACGGACGCGTTGGCTGTTGATGGGAAAGAGTAAGTCTCTTGAGGTTCCAGGGGGAGTGTGTATGTAAGCTCGTCCGGGGTGCAGTCTTGGGGCCTGTATCGCATACGTTATCGAGAACCCTCTTCTTGAGAACCATCTGATCTTGGGGAACAGGGACATCATCGCTCGTGCAAGATCGCTTGAGCGTCCAGATAGACGAGCCGGTCCAAGCTGTTCATGTGATTATATACTTTACTACGAGGGTGTACGCCTTCGCTTCTTTGTAGGATGTAATATGACATGAAGGCAGTGTTAACACGGCACAGTTTGACTGTGGCACTCACTACAGGGTTTCACATGGTATCTCATAACCATGCATTCTACAATGCCAACACGCAGCAGCACTGGTAAGGAGGTAATGATATGGTTGATGGAGGTAAAGCGGAATGTGCCGCCCCTGGGTGTTTCTCTCTTCCCACACCTTTTCTCAACACACAACTCAATACAACCCCCGACAATACCATCCCCCCCTCAGCCAGCTGCCCACCACCTCGCCACTGCCTGGCCTACTTGGGCGGGCGGGTCCGATGGATGGGTGGATAGTCTTTTTGAAGACATCGCCGGCCAGGATGAACGGGCGTACGACAAGTGGATAAACATCGAGTACAAGGAAACTGACTCTCTGGGATTGTCTCCCGAACAAGTCAATGTATTGCGGAACAGAGCCAAGGAAAAGATCGATGCCCAACGGGCAACTTCAGTTTGGGCCACGGGTACGTTTCTCTGGGTGTACATTCTGCACCATTTCCGAGACCTGACACAACCATCAGCCATGACTCCCGTCGTCTATCTCGTCGGGTAATACCTTCCCCCTCCTTCCACGATAAGGCTAATGGCGTGCGTTTCCGGGAAGAGGCTGGCCGCACGGCAAGGCACTGGGGTGGACCGTCACCGGTTTGGTAGTCATCATTCTGCCATCAGCCAACCTGAAATGGTTGTTCACAGACTGGACCCTAAACGCTGACCCGCTCCCGTTCTTCTCAGCCCATCGGTGGTCTTTGCTCTGGTTCATTATCAATGTCCTGTGGGCCGCCGTGCTTCTGGACGAAGGCTTGAGTGGGCTGAATGTTTTGAGGTTTTATAGTTTTCATAGATGAGGAAGAAGAAGACATATGGAAAACTACTATGGAACACTCCAGCGTGGACGTCCGGTGGCCATCCCCACAATCCTTTCTTCCCAGACATCAGACATATCACAACATGGAAGGCTGAGCTTGACCTATCACGAGACTGACACCATTTGGTAAGCGGAAGCCCGAAGCGCCTACCCCAAGCACCTCAACATGAATCAAATCGCCCTCGACCTTTCTCCACCGCGCCAAAACTCTTCCTCCGTGACTTTCCTTCAACCTCCCCCCTCAACAACCTCGCGTCTCCTGTTTCAACTCCCCTCTTTGTATACTCCCTTCCCTGAGAGCCTTCTATCTACCTCCCCAACCTCTTCACGTCCGGGATATCGCCTTCTGTAGCGTGCTAGGCGCCTGCACGCCCCATGACTCTTTCAGCTTTGCTCGCCTCCGTATTCGTTACCGTTACTCGTACTCGTCCTCTTCCTCTCTTCTAGTAAAGCCGTCCGACGCACGTCGACACGCCCATGTTCGCTACCCTTACCTTTTTCCGCCCATCTCCTCTTTCTAATTGTCTTACTTGTACTCTTATCCGCTTCGTGCCGTAGTCGTATCACATAGTCGCTCCGTCTATCGTCTTGTCGCTCATTCATATATATAAGAAAGGCTGGGTGTTGGGCCAAAGACGTCACACGCAATTCTTTGACTCTTTTCTCTCCCCTCCTGTTCTTCTTCAGCCTCTACTAGATTTCATCGAAGCAAAACCGTGTACTCCTTTTCACGTACTTAGGATCAGCCTTCGATAACACTTGGTGATAATTTCAGCTGTTCCCCCAGAGCAGGCCTGATCACCACACCTGTTTAGATCATGTGTATCACTTAGTATTGGGTATCCAATAGTTATGCATCGACCACCGTCATACTTCTCGGCCGCTTGTTTTAGTAAAGTAAAGCTCAATCCACTCCAACGTGTTAATGATCAATAACCTAGCGCACAGTTACTAAGTACACGGAACGCCTTCCTTCCGGGCTACTTACCATCTTTGGTACCAGCGAGTGACCGACGCAGAGTTGAGGCGGTCACAAAGGCCTAGGCTCGACACAAGCCCCTCGCTCCGACAATCCCTTCATAAATCACCAAGAGTCCACACGATAAAGAGTGACAGTTCCACCCGGACTAAAAAGGGTGGACAGAAAACAGGAAGAAGCCCCGAAAAGGAGGCGCTATGAATGAACTTTGCTATCAACAATGACATTATTCAACATACACGTCAACAATCTCTGTGGTCATGAATCATGATAAGAGTGGTCCGCGTTCCCCTATTGGTCTTTCCCTGCCCATTGCACCAATCTCTCTGTATTTGTATAATACTGATCTTCTCGTTTGTCTTCCTCTAAATTTCGGGATCCGTGGCTTGCGATCGGCGATCCTGGGCGCCATCGGCGATGTTACAAACCAGTGACCGCCTGCGGATCGATAACAATTAACAACAAACAACAATTAACAACAACTCTATTCCCTGGTTTGCATCCCACGCTGTCCATCAGTCCATCTGTGATCTGACCGACACACAGCCACCCCCTAAAAGTCTAATCGCTCCATGCAAACAAGTTTTGTAGTCTATCGGACTCGGCCCTTGCCCTCCGGCCACAACATTCGTCATACTGAGCCATACCGGCCCGGTCCACCTGCTCTAACTTCATTCGACATCAACAACATCAACGACCTCCCTGCAGACGTCGTGGGTCAAACACCGGGCTGTATGTATATGCCTTGCCAATATTGCCATCACATGACGGCCCCAGGTTCTTAGACAGCCACAAACACGCTATACAGGTTCGGTAACAAGCCGTTTAGCGTTATCGAAATGTCCGAGCCGGCCGAACCCTGTGACGGGGGTCCGGGGAATGCTTTATCTCCTCTTCCAGACGACCACCCTCGAGCTCCGTCCCGGAATGAAAACCAACCAGCCCAACACCTCGAGATCGAGACGGCATCGTCGACGTCGATTGATACCCTTAATTGCGGTTCAGAAACATCGTACGACGGCGCATGTCGTTGTTTACTGCCTGTTGATGGGTCGGCACAGAGCGGCAAGCAGAAAGGTGAGCAGGGGCAGGATAGGGATAGGGTTGCGTGCTTGGGTTGTTTGGTCAGATGGCTATCATCACCTTTTGCACGGGAGGCTGTATATATATAGGTCCCTCTGAACTGGTCAACTTGCTCTCTCTCGTTCCTCGAACACATCTGCCTTTCTCAGCACCCTATACGACAACCACCTCCCTACTCCAAACACCATCACAATGAAGTTCTCCACAGCTTTCGCCCTCATCTCCGCCCTGGCTACTACTGCCTCGGCGATGCCCACCTCCTACCCCATCTTCAACCGTGCCATCTCTGCGCGCGCTGATGCGCCTACCACCACCCAAGTGCTGCAGTACGCCTTGACTCTTGAGAACCTCGAGAAGTCCTTCTAGTGAGTTACTTCTTCCTACCCTATGAGCGACATGCTCCGTTCGCTTCCGCTAACAGCCGACTAACAGCGCGGACGCCCTTGCCCAGTTTGACGCCAGCGCGTTTGAGGCTGCCGGGTACCCGGACTGGGTTCGCGGGCGATTGAGCCAGATTGCCAGCCACGAGTCAGACCATGTGTCCCTCCTCAGCACTGCTCTCGGAAATGACTCTGTCGAGGCTTGCACCTACAACTTGTGAGCACTACACGCCGGCATGGCGATCAATGGCATATGCTAACATCTCGCCTAGCCCCTACACCGATGTCAAGTCCTTCATCGCCCTTGCCGTCGCTTTGGAGAACGTCGGTGTCTCCGCCTACGCTGGCGCCGCCCAGTACATCACGGACCCTTCGTACTTGACCATTGCCGCTACCATCCTCTCCACCGAGGCGCGCCACCAGGCCTGGGAGGCCTCCGCTGTCTCTAAGGGTAACCCCTGGGGCTCGGCGTACGACACCCCCCTCGGCCTTAACCTGGTCTATACCCTTGCCTCCGCGTTCATCACCTCGTGCCCTGACACGAACGCCGCGCTCCCTGTTAAGGCCTACCCGACTTTGACGGTTGCGGCGGACGCCAAGGCCGGCGAGTCGGTGCAGTTCACGTTTGACGACGCGCACAACGGTACGAACTACGCTGTCTTCTACTCGGGGATCGGGGTCGCAAGCGTCGCGCTCGACGAGAACGACTCTGCGACGGTGCCTGAGGGCTTGCAAGGGGTGTCATATGTTCTCGTGTCGTCGGCGGCTGACGCCAAGTCGGTGTCGGAGGACAACATTGTGGCTGGCCCGGCCATTCTTTCGTTCCCCTTCACTTCCAAAGTTGAGAACCTTCCTTTCTCTGGTTAGGTGGTGATTTCCCTGGAGTTGTGGAAATAATTATTATACCCTTTAACCTTTTAATATGAATCAATTGTATGATATGGACAATTGCATGATTGATATGGACATTCATGGCCCTGGATCTGCGTCGATAACGGCAGCATCTGCAGATGCAACAAAGAACCGAAGGACTGTTCGATACAGCGTTTTGGAACACGGCGGAGAAGCAGTTGCCCCATCGTCTGTTGAGCTCGCCAAAGAAGATACTGCTCACCTTGCCCCTGTCGCTCCATCACACCCTGTTCTCTCGCAAGGGAGTTGATCTCGGGAAAAGATTCCGTCAACAATCTCTGTGTCTCTGTGTCTCTTCGTGTCGGGATGTTGCTGTTGCGCTCGAGAGTCTTTCGCAAAGGTTGGAGGGAGCGCTGGGGGCTACACGACGATGTGGGGATCGTGACTCGGGAGCGGGAGCGTTGTGGGTTTGATCCCAGGCTGATCTGGTCATACTTGTCATCACCTCTTGAAAGTCGTCATCCGACTCCGTGGAACGTGACGACCGCCAATCCACCAAGGCTTGGAGCTCGCCGTCGCCTCCGTCTCAGCCCCGCGAGAGGAATAACCGCCAATCTTCTCCGTGACGACGTAACCCGCTTGATTTCAGCGTCAAGGCCAGACAACAGAGCTTTCTTTGCTTCGAGTTCCGTTTGATAACTGATCTTGAAAGTTTCGGACGCGTCGGGGGGTGATGGCGCCTGTGTATGCCTTGCGCGGGGCTGAGACCAAAGAGGATGTTTGACCCGGATCCGATGGAGGCGCCGAGGACGAGGATGGCGAGGGGCGTGCTGAGGGGGTGGTGTCCATCTTCAGAGGAGGCTGTTTGAGTTCTTCTTCTGTAAAGTCTTTCCTTCAATCGAAAGGAGAAGATGGCGGATGAGGTAGTATGGGCACCGAGAGTTTGTTCTGCGCATGTCTTTATGATATGCAGTGTTCTATCTATGAAGACAGTGCCTCCTTTGGACAAAAAGCTCAGAAGACTGTGACAAGAGGACGAGGAAGTGCACAAAGCTGTCTACCTTTGCCTGCCCAGCGGCGGTGCGACCTGATACAGCTTCTACTGATATCTGCCCATCATCATTGGTAAAATTAGGGATCCATCTTCCTTTCATGCTTGCTTACAAGTCTAAATCGGTCTTGGACATTGTGGGAATGTCTGCAGCAGTCACGCCACAGCGCAGGATCAAGCTCTCTTTGTCTGGGGTGATGTATGAGTTTAGAGCAAGATAATGAGAGGCCGTTACGTTACCGTTCCCTGTCGACATAGACATGGCAGCAGAGGCTGCCGGTCGTCACGACGGGTTGGATGAACTTGGAATTGGGATCGTCTAGAGTATTTCCACACGTCGAGTTCGTACGAGAGCAAAGCCCCATTCCGTTTTCGTTTTCGTTGATGGCGACGGGCACACATTACTCGTACCGTAGAAGGAAAGCAGTGGGCCCGGGAGCAGAGGGTGGATGCGGCGTCGCAGTCTGCTGCGGTTCTGAGCGGTCTGTCATTACTCGTATCAACCGGTCGCAGCAGTCGGAGGAAGGGACGTACATGTACTTTACGGGTTCAACTTGGGTTCAACACGGGTGGCTTCTAGTCATCCAACCAAACGCGGCGCTGATCAAGAAATCGATTACTTCATGCGGAGTTGCCGGCAAACCTCGCGACGCAGTCGCGTTTAATGCCGTGTGTAAGTGTCGGGGAAGGGTGTGGTAAAGACTGGTCAGTAGGAGATGTACTTGGTGACGTGTCCTTTCGCTGGCGATGGTGCCCCGTGGTGGTGACGCCGGCCCCTCCCTCTTCTCTCTCTTCTTGACGGTCACCTCGGGCCCGGGCCTGAAGCCCGGTGTGGCGATCCTAGGTATTGAACATTCTGGATTATGGATATACCGCTTGATAGACTGCATCCACTTGATAGACTGCATCGAATTCAAAAGACAGTCCAAAAGTAATACGTAGATGAGGCAATTATGAGGCAATTAGCGGAGGCGCATCAAATAGAGAGTCGAACGGCGAGCTCCGAGGTGACGTTAGCGATGTTTGTAGACGTTAGTAGATAATGTTCATATCTCAATAGCTCGACCACAGAGATGCACAGATGAAGACAGTCATCGGGTGATGCTGTACTACCAAACAGTCTTCTGCCCGTCTCTACATGCGTCGTTTGGCGCTCTGATTTATTCGTGAATGATTATCAGCACTGCTCTCGGGCATCCGACGCGATCGCTGTATATATGATGCTGCCCAGAGAGGACGTTGCAGGTGTATATATGGCTTCTCTGATGCGGAAGCAGTGAATGCAGTACATCATGCTGGGTACATAGGCTTATACCTCCCTGCGTTGAAGGGGGTTTCAGAATAATGGGACGTACGTATCTCAACGCAGCTGGCAGTGCATGGCCGCCGGCCGCGACTACGGTCGCCAAGAAAGATGTTCTTGAGGGCGGTGCTTGAGGCGACTTGGCAATATGCCCATTCACCAAGGATTGAACTTTAGAAGACGGCCAGGACGAAAGACGCGTGAACGGATGAAGAGATATGGAAAGGCGTGGCGAGAGAGTCCGTGGTGGGGGAAGGGGGGGGGGGAGGGGAGCGGCGAAGTGATATAACGGGTATTTGCTTGAACACGTCTATATATCAACAAGACTTTCTATAGAAGATAGCCGATGGTGTGCGGACGACGACAGTCATTACACGCTTATGCAGCACTGAACAGCCTTCTGTCCTTTTCTGCAAGCGTCGTTAGACGTGGCGCTATATATCATTCAAGTATGATGCCCAGCAATATTCTCAGTAATGATGAGGACTGAGGCGCTGTATATATGATGCTACTCGAAGATGCGGTCGTACGTGTACATTTGACTCATGCTACATAGAATACTCGCATAGCCTACTTCTTATCCTTTTGCCCACGTCCTTCCCATCAATCCTTCCCCTCGATCCCTACGCATCTTACTTCATCTACATCACTCATCAGCGCTACCCCATCATGGAGGAAGAAGACTACTCACAAGTTGACCCATAGCCGCACCGGGATACCTCGTACCCTGCACTTCAAAAGCGTCGAGGAAGTCGTTGATCTCTTTGGTTTCGGCGGAGGAGAGGGAAATGGAGGCGGATTGGATGTTTTGGGCGATACGGGTGGGGTTGGAGGAGCCGGGGATGGGGATCGTCTATAAGGGAGTGAGCTAGAGATCAAGATAGAGACAGAAAACGGATGAGGGTGAGGTAGGGGAAATGGGGAGATGAAGGAGATTCAAAACTCACGTATTCAGACAATCCCACAATCCAAGCCAACGCGACCTGACTCCCACTCACCCCCTTCCGCCCCGCAATCTCATCCAGCTTGTCAACAAGCTTCAAGTTCTCATAAAACGCCTTGCCCTGGAAACGGGGCAGCATGCGCTTGAAGTCGCCTTCGGGGATATCTTCGGGGGACTTGTAGGTACGGGTGATGAAGCCGCGGCCGAGGGGGGAGTAGGCGAATACGGGGATTTTGTTCTTGGTGTGCCAAGCGATAGCGGAGCGGATGGGGGTGTCGTAGGAGAAGAGGGAGATTTCGATTTCGTTGATGGCGAGGGGGGTGATCTGGGTGCAGGTCAGTACGCCGGACATTAGTCGAGAGAGAAAGAGACAGAGATGATGTACCTTGTTTGCGATCTCAAGAGATTCGGCGCCGAGCTCACTAGCTGCCACGCCATCGAACAAGCCCTCGTCCTTCAGCGTCTTGAGGTTAGTGAACACTTCTTCGACTGGGGCGTCGGGAAGACGAGCGAGGGAGAAAACGTCGAGCTTTTTGTCTCCGAGGATCTCTTGCATCTGCTTGATCTCGTTTCGCCAGTAGTCGATGCTACATCCTGGTCAGCGTTGATGTTCCGATTGGATGGGGAGGATGACTCACTCGGCAATGGGATGGATGTTTGTATAGTTGACACCGCCCTTCACCACGAGAACGATCTTGTCCTTGTATTCGGGGTACTTGGCAAAGAAGGCGGCGATGAGCTTGATGTTGGCAAAGTTGTCGCCGGGGTTACCGTAGAACGAAGCAGAGGACCAGAGGTTGGATCCGGCATCGACAGCGGCCCTAAATGGATCATCAGCTTTCAATGCTTGGGTGAGGGAGGGAGTGGACCTACTTCATGGCGGCGAAAGACACTTCCTGGGAAGGGGGATTAGGGTTCCATGTGAGCTGCATGAGACCGAAGCTCCGGGGCATATCAGCATTAAGCTCTGGGTAAACACATACACAGGTTACTCACCCGACACGGCCGACGGTCTTGCCAGCAACGGTAGTAGTGGGGATAGAAGACATCTTGGAATGGGCTTGTTGGGGCTGATCAATAGGGAAGCTGGTGGGATGCAGAACTTTTATACGTGGCAATGTCCCGCTCCGCATCATCATCGTAGACGGACATGTGGAGGGGCCGAGGTGAGTCGCGTGGCTCCCACGTGCAAGATAGTGGAGGTGCGGCAAACGCCGTCCACTCGACAGATATTCGCGTCAGCAGCTTGGGGCTTGGCCGCTTGGGCTGTATCGGCAGGGGTAAATTGGCACTGCAGGATGTATGTGATGGTCACACTGGGAGTGGATGCTTCTCAGTGCGTTGATGCATGTGTTTGACTTTCTCCGGGTTAACCTTCTCTGTCTTCCTGAACGACATACGAGTACTCGTACTGTACGTACTCGAGTACACAAATCGATACCCAAAAAGATATCCTAATTATGATAGACGGCTTAGAGAGGTAAAGTGATCAGAGATCTTGGTGGAAAAGTGGTCTCATCGGGTCTATTTCACCCCTCTGAAGTAGCAAATATATAGATCGCATCATGTCCTCTTTCCTTTCGCCGTCATCTTCGCCCCTCCTATGTACAGAATTACAGATACCCGCTTGCTCGACGGGTGGGAGAGACAAAAATGTAATGATCCCGGGCGGGATCGAACCGCCGACCTCCTGTGAAAAGCATGAAAACTTGTTAGACAGGTATGGTGACCAACTCCATCACGTGACCATCGGATGCGAAGTAGCTGTTTTGCTTTTTCAAGAGCCTTGTCGATTTCCGAGAGGGGACTTGCTGCAGGTAGAGCTTGGGAAGCTCGACTGCTGCTCGACTGTGTCTGCATCCAAATCATACAAAAAACTGGTTGCCCGACTCTTACAAAGCGATGGTACGGCGTGTGAATGGCTTTTGCATTGTGTGTCGATTGTGTATAGCGCGGCGCGTCAATCTTGGCAGAACAATGTACTTTACTGTCTTTCTCCACTAGATCAAGGACATGATCAATTATAATAGTGGGGGGGGGGGAAGAAAAGAAGGGTAAACCACTTTGCAGTGGACGACAGGGGCTAGAAGATGGATGGACGACGACGAGAACATTTTTCCTCCGCTGACATTCCTCAGCGCTCATAGAGTTACCTCTTTACCCGTCGCTGCTGCTGCGTCTTGACGATCTGGCATGCATGGTCATGAGGTACATACAATTGAATGCTCTACATGCTCTATAGCGGGTGCCACAGTCAAAGTGCGCCGTGTTGACACTGCCTTCATGACGCGCGCTCATCATTCGTTCAACAACATGATGGTGGGCGTTGACGCATTTACGTAACAATAACGTGCGCCGCCCCGCGTACGTTACTCCAGCGGGAGTCCAGGCTGACTCCAGCCCAACTCCAGCCCCAAGTTGGCCCCAAGCGCAGCGCTCACCCAGTCCAACCGAAGTTTGCCATCTACATATCATCCTCTTATTTCATCGCCCAAATCTTCACATCAAGATGATAAGATGATCTCTCAGTGGGTCACCCGCGCCAAGCAGCTCTACAACGAGCTCGGGGACAATGACACTCGCCCTCGCTTCATCTCCAATACGCCGTATAATGATAGCCTGCATTGCGGAGCTTTAAACTCCAAAAGCTTTTGCTTCGATGTGCTCAGTGACCATTCAGCTTCCCGTTACTATATTGTCCGGTTCAAGGGACCTGAAGGGGTCGCGGTATGTGCTATGTATTCCGGTGGCGAAGCACTGACGCGCGTCCACAGATATCCCGCAGAGACTTTTGCATGGCATGGGCCCTTTGCCGTCGGACAGTCGCTTTTTTAGGCGGCCTCAAATCATCAATACAAGACTGGAGTCTTGAGCAGGAATACACAGAAGATTTAGAGACCATCTCTGAGCTGCTCCGCAAAGTAAGTCTTGTATCCGGTAAAGCAGTATCAGCAGCTCATTCTTCTGTTTTGGAACAGTACGAAGCCTATTGGGGTAAGTCTCTCTCCGACTGGTCAAGTCCCTTGTACATGCGCTGATTCCAATGGCAGACGAACTCAATTTTGTCATGCAGCATATCAGTTCCTGGGAACGGATCGGTTATCTGCCCTTTATCCACGCCCGTCTCCCAACCGACTACAAATCCCTCGTAAGCAACCCGGGCGAACCCCGCTCTCGTAGATGGATGCTCAAAGGCGTGGACAATGGGAACTGGGCTCCGCTCGACGCTCAATTCTACTGTGATTCGCCTTTCAGCGCACTATACATCTTTTACGTCAAGAAGATATTGGAATTACACGAAGAAGGTTTCGAGGATCGGTGGTTTGCTATGTGGGATATGTGGGGGCCGGATCCGGTTGAGTACAAGCTATACCGCTTCCCGAGGGATATCCCCATCAGTGAGAGTGAATTGCAGTTGCGGAAGAAGAGTCAAGGTGTGAACTTCGGGGAGCTACTATCGGAATCGGGTGATATGTGAGTCTCCTGATATTGATCATGGTGTTCTATGCTCATGGAGGTAGATCACGAACTCCAATCCGGGTCTACGATGAGTAACCACTACACAAGAACAGTAGTATATGACTGCCGATCAGGAGATGTAAGTCTTGTTTGTCGAGTGTATTTGCAGAGCTAATACCTTCTTCGCTGTCACTGTCATGTAGTCCCACTTTCATCACGCTATCTCCCAGTTCAACATTCCCAAAGTCGGCACCGCTCTCATCCATCGCAGCCTTACCTATATCCCGATCCACCTCCTTCTCCTTTGGTTCGTTTGGCATCCACCTTTGTCTTTGTCAATCTAGAGACGCATACTCCACCCGCTTGTACCAGCTTCTCTCTGACCGGTACATTTCTTCCGCTTTCTCGGGTCCGAGCATCAGCTAATACATGTATAGCGCCTCTCCCCAAGTCTCCCAACTCATCCTCGCACACGCCATCCAATCCCATACTGATACGGCATGATGATCTTTTCCTTCGTAATTGGCACTATCAGCGCCAGCACGGTGGTGAGCCATTTCTTCCCTTCCATCTTCAGTATTCATGCGGAGAATCCAGAGCTGACGGGAATACAGCGAGCCTCTCGTCCAGTCTTCCGCTGTCGCAGTCGACGTCTTCATTTGGATGTCTGTCGTTGTCGCCTTGTTCAACTACGGATGGAAAACGGGTGGACCATGTGGAGGCGGAGTTGGCGTTTGGTCGACGACATTAGAGGATGAGAAAACGAGATGAGAGAAAAGGGCTGGGACGGGGATAAAGACGGTCAAGGAGAGACGATCTGGGCGCGAGGGCATGTCGCAAGTCATACCCTGCAGGCGATATCGTGCCAGAGTGACAGGCCGGTGCGAAATTGAACGACGGGAGAGAAAAGCTGGCGGAATAGATGACAAAATGGTCAGGATCGATGCAAGACACGACTTGTTTCCAGACTGAAAATCGCTTGCTACAATGCCGTCATACTCTTATATTGACAACTGCATCTCCTGACGCACGACTACATCCTACAAACAACAGGCCAAGGTGTATACCCTCATGGTATATATTATCACATGAACAGCTTGAACCGGCTGGTCTATCTGGACGCTCGAAGCGATCTTGCACGAGCGATGATATCCCTGTTTCCCAAGATCAGATGTTTTTCAAGAGGAGGGTTCTCGATAAGGTCTGCGATTCAAGCCCCAACACTGCACCCCGGATCAGCTTACACACTCCCCCTGAACCTCAAAATACTTACTCTTCCCCGTCGACAGCCAACGCGTCCGTGCCTACCCCGGCCCATCTTGCCCACCCAAAAAGCTTTTGCAATCCAATCTCGGCCCAATCGACCCTCTACCTGTCACACGTAGTAATTCCCTGAAGTGGCATTGGCGCTGAGTTGTGTGGATGGTTGAAGGACGCGCGGTGTACATACTCAATTCATATCTCATTGTTCTACTCTTTCCTTATGCGATAATACCGAAAAGGTCTTTTCCCCTCCAAAAACACCTTTTCCCGTCCCCTCCCCTGCTGCGTCCCAGCAGGCCGTGACACTACCTGGGCCCAAGCAGCATGCCGGGCTTGAGGATAACGACATGGTCGAAGCCGAGGGTGGCAAAGTGTTCTTCGAGCTGGCCTCTGATGCGGAGGTAAAAGAATGACGAGTCGGGGGATGCGTGAGAGCCGGATACGAGGATAGCCTGGGGATCGTCAATTTGTCCGTCGAAGGTGACACCTGATTGCGATGACTGAGAATGAAGGATTAGAAAGCGCTCACTGTTCTGGATCCGTCGGCTTTGGCTCTAGTAGCAAGATCCCGATTCAGCTCCCAGTCCACCTTCTCCTGCGCTTCTTTCCTATTCACCCTCGTCGTCGCCAGACACGACACATACACTCCGCCCTCTTGTATGAGCTTTCTTCGGGCAGTATCGGCGGGAGCATCCAAGAGCGAGGGATAGATTTGTAATAGCATGATCAATATCATAGTGAGGGGAAGAAAGCAAAGAAGGGTAGAAGATGGATGGACGACGAGGAGAACATCCTTCTTCCGCTGGCATTCCTCAGCGCTCAGTACGCCCACGCACTATAAATAGTTTTACTTTCCCCTGCTGAAAGCTCCTTCACCATGAGCTACACCCAACATATATCTTTCAACGGGAATTCCAACCTACGCACACGTCCAATCGGCAATGTCCTCGGTCATTGACGATATCATAGCCTTCGGCCGAATCAGAAGTTGATCCAAGCCGACTGCACCTGGTAACTTGTTGATCCGCCCACAGTCAATCAGATTAAGGATACCACCAATTCTCTCACATAGGACCACTCGTGCCTGCAGAGCGACCACGGGCGGCTAGACGGGCGTCGATTCGCAGACAATGATCGGGTGTATGGCGGTAGATGAATTTCAGGCGCCGGAGGTAAGCCGGAGGAAACGCTGGGGGATGGGAACATGGCGATGCTTAAAGTAGCTTGCGATTATGCAGAGTTGAAATAGAGGGTTCAGGAAATCACTCCCGCATTGGAAGAGAATGTAACGATGCGTATCCAAAGACATATTTTGTGACTTGCGAAACGGCGGAGAGAAATGAGGGTATGGAAGACCTCACTATGTGCCTCGATCGAGCGAGCTATAGCTTCCAGTCCCAGACACTGGTACTGATAATCATTTCACGCTGAGGCAACCGGGAACGACCGCAGAGCTGGAGGATATGCGGGCTAGGCATCTCTCAATATCCAATCGAAACTGACAACTCCTCACCAGATAGACCGACGATGCTAAGCTCAAACTTCGGGGAGGAGCTTAGTACATTATGTATTACTCTACGAGTACTTTACTTCAGTGCTTTGCATATGTCTAAGAATACGATCGCTGGGACTGATGAGACACATGTACCGTTACTGTTTCGTTGTTCAGAAGATGGACTCTCCTCCTCTAGAGTCGCTTTTTCCACCTCGCCATCTCCGAATCTATCTCAAACGTAATCCTCATCAACCGTTGAGCTTTACACGATGCACTTTAGCATTCGTGTGCTATCTTACTGATGGATCTATCATATACTTTGCTGCTCATTGTCTAGAGATTGAACCAAGGTCATAAGTCGTAGACACCAATCGGGGCAGACGTCTCTTTGCTCGAGGATGTGTGCTGAATCGTACGAAACAAGGGAACCGTGTTACGGTCACAATGCTTTACAATAGGGCTCCGACGCGCCTCCTTTCAAAAGAAGCACTACCCGTTGCTCAATTGACCTCCCATATTGGTCGTAAGTTCTGTGATCAATCTGTGCGGGCGATTGATGAACTCTTGCGAAAGTAATTGCAGATTAATGAAAGCCTGTTAAAAGAGGTCATTTAACGTGAACATCGGAGGGACGGCGGAGTACAGGGTGGAACGTACCTTTGTCGTACAAGCGGAGAGTATCATATCCTAGCGAGAGGTATATATATCCCCCGCCGAAACGACGATCAATTCATAGCATCACTTTCCAACCATCCTTCAACATGTCGACTACTCGTTCAGCCTCTGTGAAGCTTGCAGCCTGCTCTCACACCATCATTACGAATCCCGAAGAAGGCGATCGGTACATGGCTTACAAGCCTGTATGGAAGGTCAAGCCAGTCTGGGCACCCGGCGATGAGCCGAACGAAGACCAAATGAGGAACCTTGCGTCCTTGGCGGACAACATCAGTAGATCGTATTGGAGGTCTAATTGGGATAATGATTGGTCACGTCGAGACGCACCGACTAATCTGTCTTTCTGCACTATTGAAGCGTTTGAGCAGCAACAAGGGCACCTAGAGTATGACACCAACGATAAGCTTTCTGTAGCTTGTGACCTGGCCGAAACGGACGAAGGTAGGAGGAATGCCACGGTCATTTACCCCGACTTTGCGGCCTACAGCAATACTTATCCAGTCACGGATTACAACAACACCTTGATCTTGGATCAGGCGCATATGACCGCAGATCTGGAGGCGATGTGGAGTAGGCATTTCTCGAGATACAGAGTAGTCGATCAGTAGATCGGTAACGAGATGAAATCGAGAGGGGATCCCGACATATAAATATTGTTGTGATACTTATGTCTAAGAAGAAAGGATTGCGATGGCCGCCGGACGTCCACGCTGGAGTGTTCCATCGCAGTTTTCCATAGGTCTTCCTCTTCCTTGTCTATGAACCCTATAAACCTTCACAACAAATATCAGTACGGATTCCTTCATATATGTGTCTACACTTTTCGTCCATCGATGGCTGATCAGACATATGTCTTGATAGACGCTATGATCCGTATGAGCATTGCAGAGATGCCGTCCTCCATCAACGTCAGCAGCAGCCTACCTGCTGGTGTCGTAATGTAAGCTCGTGCGGCCGACGCCAGGCCGCGCACTGGAGCTTGCAGACCTGACCCATACTACAATGTCAATGCTAGTTCAACTTGTACATCGCGAGCCCTCCATTCGAGCACAGAGCGCCGCCCGCAGAATGTGAATGTACCGAGGGGGTAACAGTAATTCCAGTTACATTACGACGAGGGTGATGTTGGTGTTGTGTCCGACAAATCTATTGCTTTTCAAGCCATCGTATAAGCGGGCACGATGCACGATGCTCGATACTCTCAAGATTGACAACAATCAACAACACCCCGGGTCACTTATCCCGCCTCGTCATCTCTGGATCTACCTCAAACGTAATCCTTATCAACCCTTGAGCTTTACACGATGCACTTTAGCATTCGTGTGCTATCTTACTGATGGATCTATCATATACTTTGCTGCTCAATGTCTCGAGATTGAACCAAGGTCATAAGTTGTAGACACCAATCGGGGCAGAAGTCTCTTTGCTCGAGAATGTGTGCTGAATCGTACGAAACAAGGGAACCGTGTTACGGTCGCAATGCTTTACAATAGGGCTCCGACGCGCCTCCTTTCAAAAGAAGCATAACCCATTGCTCAATTGACCTTCCGTATTGGTCGTAAGTTCTGTGATCAATCTGTCCGGGCGATTGATGAACTCTTGCGAAAGTAATTGCAGATCCATGAAAGCCTGTTAAAAGGAGGGCATTTGAAATGAACATCGGAGGGACGGCGGAGTACAGGGTGGAACTTACCTTTGCCGTACAAAGCACCCTAGCGAGAAGTATATATATCCCCCGCCAAATGGACGATCAATTCATAGCATCACTTCCCAACCATCCTTCAACATGTCGACTACTCGTTCAGCCTCTGTGAAGCTTGCAGCCTGCTCTCACACCATCATTACGAATCCCGAAGCAGGCGATCGGTACATGGCTTACCAGCCTGTATGGAAGGTCAAGCCAGTCTGGGCACCCGGCGATGCGCCGAACGAAGACCAAATGACAAAACTGGCGTACTTGGCGGAAGACATCACTAGATCGTATTGGAGGTCAAACTGGGATAATGCTTGGTCAACTCGAGACGCACAGACCAATGTGTCTTTCGCCACTATTGAAGCGTTCACGCAGCAACAAGAGCAGCTAGAGTCTGACACCAACGATAAGCTTACTGCAGCTTGTGACCTGGCCGAGAGGGATGAAGGTAGGAGGAATGCCACGGTCATTTACCCCGACTTTGCGACATACAGCAATACTTATCCAGTCACGGATTACAACAACAACTTGATTTTGGATCAGGTGCATATGACCGCAGATCTGGAGGCGATGTGGAGTAGGCATTTCTCGAGATACACTACTCGATAGGTAAGTAGGTCAGTATGTAAATATCAGTCGGGGGCTCTTCATATATGTGTCTATACTTTTCGTCCATCGGTGGCTTAGCAGACATGTGTCTTGATAGACGCTATGATCCGACTATGATCCGTATGCGCATTGCAGAGATGCCGTCCTCCTTCAGCGTCAGCAGCAGCCTACCTGCTGGTGCCTGTTGGATTCTGGAGTTCAGTACGCAGGACGCTGCGAGTATAGACGTATACGGTAGA